AAATATAAATATCATTAAAAGTCGCTTGCTTCATACCGTCGATATTTCCGACAGATTCAATAACGAATACTGACAGCGAGCATATAACAGTTCCAAAGTGTAACTATTTATGAAAGTTGTTCGATCGAACTGGCGAATACTTACAATCGCTGGAACGACTACTTTTTGTTTTCTTTTCTCCTTCTTTCTTTTTTCTATTACAAAATCTGTCGGCGTTATGCAAGCGTTTTACGCGTTTCTCTGCTGCATATAAAATTTCCTCTCTTCTTTTTTATCAATGTTTCTAACGTGGAAGATTATTATTAAGATCGAAACATCAAAACCCAAGAAATAAGGGAAAGTTTTTTTTTAATACGATGAAGGGCGCAAGTTTTTTTGTTAATAAATTCTTACGAAAAATTATTATCAAATTTCTACGAAAGGTTATGCATTATGGTTGTTTTGATCATATTCTGGCGTTAAGCGATCTTTTGTAAGTGTAATGATCTAAGTGTAATGAAATTTAAAAAAAATTGATAAAAAGTGATCGGTGAAAAGTCGATAATAATCAAATTTCTGAGAGAAATTTTGAGAAATAAAATTGTAGTGAAACATTTTCGTCGCGAAAGGGTTGAAACTGAAGGGATGGCTTGAAATTCCTCGAGTTTCGAGAATTCGAAACTTTGTAAATATTTTCTTCGTGATTCGAAAGTCAGACAGAAGACAAAAAGGATACAAAATCAATGAACATAGAATGACTTGCTCATGAAAAAAAGAAAGGAAATGTTTGATTGTGATTGAGATGCTTCGCGAACTTTTGTTCGTAATTTTGGGAAAATATCTAAATCTGAAGAAACGATCGAAAAAGCTATTCTATTACTCCGAAAGACTTTCCAATGCACGTAATTGGCAAAAAGGAAGAAAGAAATAAAATTTAATTAAAGATTAAATCCAAAAAGAGTACGAACGTTAATATTCTTAAACGAAAAAATCCCGTTTCGATATATCTGTATATTATTTACAGTTATTTATTAAGTATTAACTCGCAAAAAAATCCCTCTTATAAAGGAAGATAAAAGTTTCAAGTTTCGAAAGTATCGAGAGTTTTGAAATCTGTTGCGAAGCTTCGGACTCGAGTATTTCGAGAATTTCGGAATTCAGTTTCGAAACCACCTCTGATTATTATATTACACGTTAGAGGATTGCGATGCAAATGCTAGAGCAACGAAATTGGAACGTAGGAAATTCCGAAGAATTAATGAATGGAAAAATAATGGATGAAAGCACAGTAGTTCTGTGTGCCCTGAAATCTAAATTTGAAAGGTGCGAATGACATTTTTGACTATTAAATGTGCCGGTTATTAGGAAGCTGGCCTAAGCCACATATCTCTCGTTTCGAGATAAAGATTTGAATAAATAAAAAAATATTTCCATACTATGAAACAAAATATTTGGAGGAAATATCTGATCTTGTAATCTTGTAATCTTGTAATTTATTCTGACTGTGAGATTTTGTGTGTAACTTATAAAGAAATATGATTCTCGAAGCTTGAACTGGCTTGTTTGACCATCTTCAAAATTAACCGAATGTCTTAAAACTGACTTACAACAATAAACTGATAAACTCATTTTTTTTAGACGACTTTCATACCGGTAAAAATTGTCAAAGGCAAACGTTCTGTCCTCTTCTATCAAGTCTCGTGATATCGATCGGTCAGGGCACATTAACTTTCACACGTGAGACTTATCTGAATTATACATATCACACATTTGCATACGTACACGTATAGTGAAAGCCACCATATCGAATGCAATCGGTTTATTAATAATTTCTCTTACGAATGATCACCGGCATGACGAAATCGGTGAGTGGTAAACTTTTGCCACCGTTCCCTTTGTTCCTGCCGATACACCTGTGAAATAAGAACAGGTTCTGCAGACGCAACAACGCTCTCGTGTTTTCTAGAACGTGAAGGAATTTCTAATTCCATTGCTGAAATATTAATAACGAATGAGAAATAAATTTTCGACGTTTTATTCCGACAGTCAACAAATAATGAAAAATGAAAAAGACACCTACGGGCTTGGTATAATATCGGTTGCAATAGCTCTCTTTCAACAACTCGTTTTCCATATTTCCTCGCGAGAACTCGATTAATTACGACTTGTTAGGTAGAATTCTTCTTCTACGAAAAGTTTCGTCCCACCTATTCTTTTTTTTTTGTTTTTTTTTTTGTTTTTTTCTTCCTTTTTTTTAATAAAACATTCGAAACACAGGAAAAAATTAATTTTAAATTAAAATTTTTATTTCAGTAGGAAATGACTTTTGGCCTACCCTGTAGATGGGAAACGTTAGATTTCATTTCTTTTGGATGAATTTGTATCATCGTTAGATGGATTTTTATGCAAATTCGTACTAAAATGTATAATTGAAGATACAGATAGATAAGATAATTAGGCAGAAATTCGTTTCATTTATTAAATATTTTCGATATTTTCGTATTTTTTCCGTAAGAATTTTATGTTTTTAAATATAAATCCGTAGCATATTTATATTTTGTAATGTTTCGTAGTATCTTTCTAAAAACGACTCGGGTCAAATTAGGCAAAAATCACTCAACTCTTAAAATATTAAAAAGTTAAACATTGTGGAAATCCTCGTGATTTTACGACCTTTGTTTTGAGAAAAAAAAACTCACCAGCTCAACGGAACAACTAGATTATACAGTAATTGTCAAAACTATCAATAATCACAATGATCCCATTTAAAGTTTGTAACCCTCGAACAATCGTCGTTGTCATAGTGATTTATACTCGATTGCTAAACTCTATAGTAGACACTTACATTATTTTATGAAAATTTTATTCATAAACAAAATTCAAATTAAAGATTTTTAATTAAATTATTTACTTATATATATATATATAT